TAATCTCGATTATGCCCTTTCCATTTGTGACTGGGATACAGAGGATCACAAACAAGGTGTGAATAACCATGCAAATTAGCTTGGCACTCTCGATCTCATTTATCACCTAATTAATGTGCCGGTTAACAACACATGCTCCATTAATCAATGATAATTTACGAGCTACCCATTGCCACCCTTTATTAGTCCATATTAGTGTGTTGGTTAACCACACACGCTCCACTAACGACTTTTATAAAGTACAATGTGCAATTTCATGGATTAGCATCAAATTCACATTTTCCTAAAGTAACTAAAATTGGGAATTTTTTTATGAAAACATTTAGTTACTTTAATTATTTAATTATACTTATTAATGAGAGTTTAGTTTCCTATAAAACCCATTCGGCTAACAACGCTCCACCAATCAAGGAAGCGGTGGATGAGAGTGGACACCCTTTCAACAGCCATTTTATAGGCAGTTTCCTTATACCCCTTATAGATCGACTTCGTGAATGAGACCTACTAATGGTAAGACTGACATTTTCTTATATATATATATATATATATATATATATATATATATATATATATATATATATATATATATATTAACTTTTAATTTTACTATATATGTAAGGGTGTATTTTAAACTTTTAAAATACTAGGGTTCTAAAAACTTAATATTTCAAAATTAAACTATTTAATTAACTTTTAAATTATAGAACTAAAGGGTGTATTTTTAAAACTTTTCGAAAATACTAGGTTTAATGTTTTAATAATCAAATTAACAAGTTAATTTTATCTTTATTTAAAAAATTTGACCCAATCATGAATCCATGATAAGGATACAAGATTACTCATTAAATTTTCCAATTTTAAACCATTAAAACGAATTTAAGGTAATTATCCTAATCAATCCATGAAAGATTTGTCAAAGCCGAAAATCTGGGATCTGACAACTCAACTCGTCAAGTCTGGGCAGTGCACACGTCGATTTGAAGCCAACTCGTCGAGTTCCAATATGAACGTGTCGAGTTCTATGAACAGAATGATGATTTTGTTCCCTTCACCTTTGAAAAATTCACAACTGCATCATATTCAACTGAAAAACATCCTAGGCTCTGATACCACTGATGGGTTTTTTGAGCATAACTACAAATCTTATGTGATCATGTAACCTTATAAACTTTAGATCTAGGTTTTCACTAGTTGAACATGCAAACTTGAATACAAAAGAGAAACCCTAATATGCATCTATAATAATCGAAATTAACCTAATACTAGGGTTTAGATACATACCTTAATTGTTATGTAGTAATAACAATTAATCCTTGTAGATCTTGAACTCTTGAGAGCAAGTGCCTCAAATGTGACACCTCTAATGGCTTACAAACACTCTTTGCAAGTGGATGAGAGGAGAGAGGAGGATATAACACCAAAGTTTCGGCTATTCTAGGGTTAAGAGCAAGTGGTCGAAAATCCAAAGGGTTAGGATCCTTTTATACTTGAGGTTGCTTAGTCCCAAAGCTAGGCTTTGCAGGTTGAAACCCTAATTTCCTGCTTAAGGCCTAAGCAGCCCATAGACTCCTCATCTAGAAGCCTTGGACGAAAACTTATAGGGCCTCCCTATAATTTTCGTCCACTCCTATCTAAGGAGTCCAAGAGCCCTATTTCACAAATATCAATTAATTGCAAAACAGCCCTTGTACTTTTAATTAATTCCTTTAATCCCAAAATTAAATCCAAATTAATTTCTGATTAAATATTAATTAAATAAAATAATTTCTAATTAATATATCATTCTCATAATATATTAATAAATAATATATATATATATATATATATATATATATATATATATATATATCAATTTATTATTCCAAATAATAAATTCAACTTCTCCCCAAAAGTTATCCTGTCAAGTTGCAAGAGTGAAGACAACCCAAAAGGATTGTGCTTCTATCAATTCAAGTATATACCAATTATAGTTATGGGATTAGACACCTAATCCAACATCTTCTATACTCAAGGGTATGGACTATAAAGATTCTATTGTTGTTATTATATTTTTATCTTTATCTAATTGGATCCATGTTTTGGGGTTATAAGATTTTCAAATATTATTTCCATTGCAAAATCAGTTTACTTAAATTGTTATAGATTCTATCAAACCCCTCTCACTAACACCGCTAAATTACACTTGTTTATACATTAAATTTAGAGGATGTTTGATTGTTTTTCCATTCTAGGGTTCAAAGTTATGAAGAAAAAGACACTTTAGATAAAATAGAAGAAAAGTTGTTTGATTTGAATAATCATATTATTGGCTTTTAATACTTTAGAAATGAAAAATCAAAACTATGCTACTACAATTAAACCGTCTTGATTAACTCTTTACGTAAAATATACTTTACTCCACAACATGAACTTTTTTAGCAATAGCATCAAATGTAACCGGTTGGCAATTAAGAAAAAATCACAACAATACAAAAAAGTTAAAAGGTGAATGCTTAAATCTCTAAAAACATTCGAGCAATTTAGGTAAAATAGTTAGGCAATTTATTACTATTTATTGACCTTCTCCTAAACTTGATAACCTAGATAACCTATATGTCGGGATTTTTTCTGGTTGAGTGGAGGATGTCTAATATTAATAGTATTGTATAAAATTTGGATTGTTTTTATTCCATGTCGGTATTGAAAATAAATTTGAATAAGTCACTGCTTTATGGACTAGGGGTGTAAGATGACCATGTTATAGACATGGCATTGGTTACAGGTTGTCCTTCAGGTTCTTTTCCTTTTGTATATTTGAGAATTCCAATGGGTTCTTCTATGAATTTGATTCGAAATTAGGAACCTATTATTCAGAAGTTCTAGAGTAAATTATCAAGGTTGAAGGCTAATATGCTCTCGATAGGGAGGGATCGACTCTTATATCCTTGGTTTTGGGTTCTTTAGGAACATATTATCTATCCTTGTTTCCAATGCCCATCCAAGTGAAGAAGAAGCTTGAGTCTCTGAGAGCTGAATTTTTCTGGGGCGAGTAGAATAATTCTAAGAAGTTTCATTGGGTCTCTTGGTATTTGGTGCTTGCTTCTAATGATAAGGGGGCTTGTAAATTGGAATTTTATATGCTCTTAACTATGATCTTATGCAAAACTGGTGATGGATATCTTTTCATGAACTCAATTCTCTTTCAGTCCATGTTGTGATTGCTATTTATGGTAAAGGAAAGGAAGATCTGTTTGATGTAAAATATGCTCATGGAGGTGGCGTTTGGGCTAGATTTGTGGGTTCTATTAATACAATACATGAAAGTGGTGTTATTCCATATAATGTTCTTAGAATAATGGTTGGCAATGGAAGACATACATAATTTAGATTAGATGTTTGTGATTGTTTGCATCCCTCCCAATAACTAAAACAAGTTATCATATAAGAAGATCTTTTAAGAAACATCTATCAACCCCAATCACTTTCCAACAACCTATCATCCACCCACCCCTTACGACTTTTAAACATACATAATACAGGTAAAAACAAGCGGTTGAATCTGGCATGATGTGTACAAACTTCTTTGCAACTCTACATTGCCTCACACTTAAATTTATGCTAAATTTCTTTGACATGTGTGCATTCATATTCCTTAAACTCTGTTTTGGTGTTTTTATAATCTCACTAATAAAATGTTTACCTATCAACATATGATTCGTTATGGAATCAATGTTAAAAGTCTTGGAGTAGTTATGGTCACCATTAAGGGATTTAGTCTAAAATGTTTTTTCATTAGCCTTCCTAAAGACCCAAAGCCTAAAAGGACATGATGGTTTCTTCTTTTATTTAACACCTAACTAACCGTCTTGTGTTATCATTTTCTCCATGCTGTATGTCATATACATGAGCAAATGCATAGTTGTTTAAACAATGCTTAAGTTCATTTGGATTGAAAAACTACATACCTAACATGGGTTTTATCTTATCTCGTTGTTGTGTTTCATCGTGTACAAGGTATCATGGTTGATCCTTTACATCTTCTTATTCATCACTATCACTATGGAATCATTCTCGTCATTCTGTGTAGCAGGACAAAGAATGTTTAAGAATTTATCACCTGTTCTTTTGTTGGTTGACATCACCACATCTTCTTCATGACCAATATAAATAGTATCTGAAAAGGTAGAATCAACTCCACAGTTCTGATCTTCATCCACATCATCTTTTGGTTCTTCGTCCCCAATCCAATCAAAAATTGATTCATTTATGTGGTCCACATATACACTGAAACGTCCTTTCATTTACTTCTTGTGAGCTTCTCAAGGAAGGTGATGAAATATGAGTAACACATTGCACTGAAATCTACATCATGTACATAATCTCTTTCAGGGTCGACGTATACCAATGACTTAGGGCTAAGATGCCCTTGTAATGAACATTGACTATTAACATGTTAGTTTCACCAAGAGAGACACTCACAAGATCACTCACATACGTTGATTGTAGTTAAAGGGAAAAAGATTTATGCCATGATTGAGGTTACGAAGAAATCACATTCATCGTACTCTAATTATTGACATCACAGGGTAACCGACTGGCCACATAATGTCATTAAATGAAGAACATTAACCTTCATTTACGTTAAAAAAGATGTAGAACGACAAATGAACAAAAGCCTCTATTGCCAAAGGCCTTGTAGCCCAACGGTATCATATGTTGTCATTGCTCCTTGAGGTTGAGGGTTCAAGTCCTATTGTGGACATAAATGAATTTAAGGAGCAGTTTAAGAGTATATTAGATTTTTCGTTCTAAAAGAATAAACAAAAAAAAAAACCTCTATCATCGACCATAATAGTAACTTTTAAATAATTTCAACAAATTAACAATTAAATTAAACACAAAAAATTATTCTATAAGTTAATATGTACGACTATAAAATTAAAATATAAAATTAGTTTGCGTGTTTCAAATCATTATCATTATAAAAAGCAGCCCACTAATGTTGGTGGAGAAATCGCCCCTTTTAAAATTCAAAATTTCTATCCGTTGGGACTTCATACTGTAGTGTTGTTTCTCCTCTCGCCATTGAAGAAAACAAAAGAATGGGAAGGTTTCCAGCAAAAAGCGACTATGAAGACATGCGAAATGCCCGCATCTCTGAAAATCAGGTCTCTTTCTCCTCCATTCTTACTCTCACACTGTATTTTTCCGTGTTAATTAAGCACAATGATACTGAGGTTGGTCCAATTCACAGGCTCGACTAGCTTCCTTAGGACTACAAAAGACAATATCTGAGCTTCGATTAATAACAACTCCTGCAAAATCACCAAAGAGAAAATGGCAAAAGGTTGATTACAGTAGCGTTCCTTTGCGCCGCTCCAACCGGTTGAAACAAGCAAACCCTAATTCCTCGGATGCCTCGATTTCTGTAGGCCGATCTCTCAGATTTCTTGCAGATCCAGACACCGAGCTCTCAGATGGTTTCTCTCTTTCCTCCCTTCCACTACTCGTATTCTTTCATTTACACTAAATACGTTCAGATACAGAATGGATCTGGAATTTGTCACTAGCATGCAACGATTTGGGGGAAACTCTGGTGTGTTGGTGTGTTCATGTAAATCGTTGTTACTAATATCAATTTGTGACACAGGTGATGTTTCTGATGAGGATGAGAAGAGGCCAGCCAATGCTCCTTTAGTTGATTGGAGATTGTGTCGTTCTGCAGAGGTATCATCAGAAAGACGATGCATGAGCAAGGGTAGGGGAAGCGTATACGACCCTGTTTTTGGGATTTGCTGCCATTTCTGCAGGTCCATCTCTACACTTTCACTTTCCTTCTCTATGTGTTCCTTTAGTTATGCGGGTTGCATCTGGTCTTTGCAAGATCCAACCATCAATTTCATATTATTTCCTGTCACAAGTTAAACTAGCTTGTTCGTGTTTCTCAATCTGCTGTGGTTCTTGCTTTAATGAGAAAATGAAAAAAACTTGTACACTATTTCAAAATTTGTCAATCTTTTATAGTGATTAATAGTGGGACTTAATCAATATTGCTTGTCAAAAAAGAAAAAGTTGGCGGAATCGAAAAAGAAAACTATTACATTTATTAGTGTATAGATAGTATGCAAGTTTCAAGATTTGTTTGTAATTGTCATCTTCAAACAAAATGAGAATTTGGGTTTTAATCATGCAATTTCAAACACTGGATTGTCTAGGCAAAAGAAACTGTGTGGTGAAGAAGACTGTAAGAGGTGCAATGACCTTGATGTTGATCAACCATGTCTAGGTTAGTGTATGTTCTAAAAATGCTCTTTTAGAATGAATTGGGTTAATTTTGATTTTAACACACATTCATTCACACACAGGTAAGACAGATTGCTCGGTGTGTCATTCTACCAATGGTGTTCTTTGTCGAGCTTGCCTCAAGATCAGATATGGTGAAGGTAAGTCAAAGCTCAGATAAAAACCTAAATTTAAACTGTTCTTTGTGTATTTTTCTTTATCACCAAATACAAAACAATTTTCACTGCTATAATTAGACAGACTTTTCAAAGTACAAATGTCATAATAAGAAAAAAAAATGAAATTACAATGTTATAATTTGGTAGGTTTCAAATATTGTTTAAACGTCATTCATCTATAATTTGTGAAAAAAAGAAACATACAAGTTTATTTTTGATGAGATTTTTGCAAAGTTATTAAAATCGTTAGTTAATATTGTGGCAGAAATGGAAGAAGTAAGAAATAACAAGCAATGGAAATGCCCTCACTGCATAGAAGAAGAAGGAAGCAAACCATATTGGATATGTAATAGGTACAAACAAATATTATCAATTGCCCTTTTCACCCTTATCAAATGGCAACAGGTTTTCTGTAATTCTCACTGGATATCTCCTATTTATATAGCTCTTTCTGCCTAAAGAAGAGAAAAATGGTGCCAACTGGGATTGCCATATACAGAGGTTTGACTTTGACTTATTTTTTTTTTTGTGGCAATATAATCAAAATCAATCATAGACTTCAAATATTGATAGATGAATTTGTTTTTGTTGTGTAGCTCGGGAGATGGGATATGAATCGGTGGCACATCTTTTGATGGATGAGCTTCAACGAAAAGATAAAAGATGATGTTTGTAATAAGTCAAGTCACTTAATTTGGATTGTTTAGGTCTTAATTGGATGTCATTGCTGGTTTAACATTAGAGAACATATCGTTTCAATCTAAGTTTTAACATATCGTTTCAATTAATCTAAGTTTAGATTATATATTTATTATTTTGTCCATTTAACCACTAAACTAATATAATAATCATAAAATGATAATTGTAAATGGACTAAATTGATTAATGTATTATTTTTTTCTTTTTTGGCATTTTGTGTTATTGTTTATCCACTCAAGATTTTTGTGGTTGTCACATTTAGGGCTCTGTTATGTTTATTGTTATGTTTACAGTTACATTGATATCTATATATAGAGTTAGGTATTTGAATTCGGCCATGTATAGAAATTGATTTTGACCATAAATAAAATTTATATAGGTTGATCATGGTTCACCATAGTGTCAGCTCTAGGGCATATCAGGCTTCACAAATCACAATTAACATTTTGTCCTCTTACCAACATTGGTAACCAAGAAAAATGACTGATTTATATGATTAATAAATTGTTAAATCGATAACATTATAAAAACATCATTCCTTCAAAATTAATCTACTGACTGGACATTTCAATTGGCATTTTAATCATAATAACATGTCCATGTGGTGCTGAGTGGCATCCACGTGGATAACTATATTTTTTTTTTCCAAATGCAAAACAACAAATAACAGGTCCACGATTTATCATCCCTAAATCAAAAAGAGCAGCGGTAAACGTTTATACGGAGGTCGCTATGAGGTTTTACGTTTCAGTGGGGAATCCGATGTAATTTCCGATGAGAAGGATTTCTATGAGGTTTTACGTTTCAGTGGGGAATCCGATGTAATTTCCGATGAGAAGGATTTCTACACAACATAGATCTGTTGTCTTCTCTGGTGAGAGTTAATCAGAGTGAAAGAGGAGTTGTACGACATGGTTTTTCCGATGATTCCTTTCAGCGATTAGTTTTTTCTAGTAACTCCATTCAGAAATTATGATGAGTGGAGAATTTAGTGTTACATGGCGACTAGAGACTGGAAATTTACCGGAGCATTGTTGCCGAAAAACAGAGTGAATTTAGAGGGAAAGGGAGGGAAGGAGAGGAAGGAACCCCTTTCTTTCCTTCCCTCTCCTTCTCCTTCTTCTTCTCCTTGTTCTTCTTCTTCACCTTCCTTTCCTCCCTGAAAATATAAATAAAATCGAGAACACGACGTAAATGAAATGTGCTGTAGATCATGGATTAGGGAAGAGACCCACCCAATCATCTTACCCAAAAGTTAATTATCCAATTTCAAAAGGCCCGAGTCCATATTAAAAAAATCAAAAGAGACACTTCACAAATGACAACCTTGGATAAGTAAAAAAAATGACTTTTTAGTTTTAATTTATTGTATTTTTATATTTTGATTATTTTTCAGACCTAATTTTTCTTTTTTCTTTTTTTAGAAAAAACTCTAATTCTATCTCTTACTTGTTATTTCAACATCCAAAGTTACAAACAAGTAATTTGAGTTTTTTTTTCTATTCTATAAAGGACCTTACATTTTGTATTTTTTTCATTTTAGACCTAATTTTTTTTTTTTAAAAAAAAAGACAAACTTTAACTTATTCATTGTTATTTCAAAATAAACTCAACTTTAACCAACAAGTAACCTTATATCTTTCTAACTCACAATCGATTTTAAAAACCCTAGGTCACGTTTCCGTTTCTTCTTCTTGTCCACCATATTGGGCCCCCTGAATTGGTTTTTTCTTAAGTTAGGAATATTGTCCACCATATTGGGCCCCCTGAATTGGTTTTTTCTTAAGTTAGGAATATATACTTAGTTAGGAATGTTGAAATAGAAAATTTCTATTATGAGGATGAAGCTCCTCTATTTACTTCTTATCCCAAGCTAAAGGTGCATATATACCAATTTTGAATCGGGAGAAAAATTGTTTTCGGATATTTTTTTTAAACCTATTACTAACCGTTGGTTCAATTTTAAACTAATCGTTTTGATTTTTCCTTCGGTTAAAAAACACAGTTTGAAATGTGTACCTCTGCATATCTTCGTGCATGACATTATCTTGAGTTCAATTTTGTAAAGCATATGACAAGTAAGTTTCAAATGAGCATAAATAGAGAGATCAATTTCTTTTCTAGGATTATAAATTAAGAAAGTTGGTTAAGGAATCTTCATTCATTAAGAAAATACACCTCAGAGCAGTTAAAGAAATATTCAACAGACAACTACTTGTCTATCAGGGGGCAGTCCAGGAAGATCTTCGGGAAAGACTTTCGAATAGTCACACACCACTGTTATTCTTTTCATTTCTTTCTTCCCCTTCTTTGCATCAATCACAAATGCCAAGTATGATGTACATCCTTTAGACAAACACTTTCTGGCTTTCATTAGGGAAATGATTCTAGAATTTACTCTACGTTTGTCCCCGTACACCACAAACGGCTCTTTCTCAGGTGGGTTTACTCTCACCATCTTCTTTCTACATAGTATCCCGACATCGTTCGCACTAAGTCAATCCATTCCTAGTACTATGTCGAAACCGTTCAAATCAGTGGGTAACAACTCTTCGTGGAATTTATTCTCGTTCAAGTCGATGACGATGTTTTTAATGCAATTGCTAAGATGTATGAATTTGCCACTAGCAACTTCTACAACTAGAGCATTATCAAGTTTATTTACAGGCATTGCTAGTCTTCCACCAAATTTATGCGATACAAATGAGTAATTTGCTCCAGAATCAAACAATATATATTGGCAGGCAAGCCATTTACAAGAAGGTACCTGAAGCGACATCTGCTTCATCCCTTGTTGCTTCCAGGGTCATCTGGAATGCTCTTACCTTTGGCCTTGGCGGCACATTAGGCCTCGCCACCTCTTTCTTCTTCGGGCAGTCCATAGAAATATGTCTTTCTTCATTACATTCGTAACACACCCTCTTGTTGAATGTACACTCATTGGCGTAATGCCCAATCTTCCCACACTTGAATCAAGTCACCTCCTCGCTACATTTTCCAGAGTGTTTCTTTTTGCACTTCTCACACCATTTTGCTTCACCTCCTCCTCCTCCAAACTTCTTAGAACCAAACTTTGAGAACCTGCTTTTCTTGTTGGATCTTGAAAATCCATCAAACTTCCTTTTCTCTCCAATCTCAGTTCTCTCCATACCCTTCTCCCTTAACTGGGTCTCTACATTCTTAGCTGCCCAGACGACGGCTTTCAAGGTTGTTGCTTGTTTGACGATTGGACCAAAGTCTACTGGCAATCCATTAGCAAACTTGTTGACCTTGGAGAGTTCAGTTGGAACTAAATAAGGAACAAGCTTCATCTTCTCCGTAAAACTTGCAACATACACGCTGATACTCATCCTTCCCTTCTTCAGATTCTGGAACTTATTTTTGATCTCCTGAAGATCCTGATCAGAGCAGTACTGCATTTTTAGTTATACCAAAAAGTCTTCCCAAGACATCTTGCTAGCTTTTCCTTTAGGCATGGTACCAACCAATAACTTCCACGAACTTAATACCCTAGTCTTCAACTGTGTAGCCGCGGGAGCGGTCTTCTGTCTGTTGGTGCAGTCACAAGTTTCAAACATCATCCCTATCTCGTAGATTCAATCCATGACTTCCACCGGTGTTGGGCTTCCAGAAAGACTTGGTGGTTTGGATGTCATGAAATCCTTGTACTTGCACCCACGTCCATCATTTCCTTAATTGGGTTGGTTTCTTCTAAGCGTATGGGGTTCAACTTGGCTCATAGTATGACTGTAATTTCCTTCCTATGACTATTCAATGTTCAGTTCAGGTTGCACAGTGGATACAGTAGGTTCATCCCTATTAAGCAACATTTGTCTCATCTCCTCCCTTTGTTCGACCATCATAGCCCGAATCATTGCTTGACTCCTGCCATCCTGATTGGCTCGGGTGCAGCTGCTACCTCTGGTGCACGCTTAAGCACTCGTGGCTCGGGCTGCAGGTTTCTATTAGCATTTCCTAATCCGCTGCGAGTTATCACCATGTCGCTTTATAGACCAAAGTAGGCGAATTAAGATCTTTATTTACGATAGACGTTTAAATCCTCCTTGTCACTCTGAATGTAACGACCGAATTTTCAAAAGCAAATTTTCATTTTTGATTAACTAAAATACTTTCCACGAACCATGAAATCCCCAAATACAATTGTTTTAAAAATTCATAACAATTGCAATTTTATTTCAAATCATCAGAGTGTCCCATAAAAACGCCTGAGAGAGAGTGCACACCACACCATCACGCCTTGCCCTTGCCCTTGGGCTCAGATGTACCTGGAACAAATCCATAAACTGTAAGCTAATGCTTAGTGAGTTTTCCAGGCATACCCCACACACAATCCACATAACACATATCATATTAGTTATAAAAGCTACTTATATCACATAAGCCATGCATACAAACATATAAGGATGCCATAGGCTCCCTCATATGGTCTTATACCAAAGTGTCATGGGCTCCCCCCATGGTCTTTAACCGACAAGCCATGAGCTCCCCCACATGGTCTTTCATCCGAATGCCATGGGCTCCCCATGGTCTTTAACTAACAAGCCATGGGCTCCCCCACATGGTCTTATATCCAAGTGACATGGGCTCCCCCATTGTCTTCCCTGCATATATCATGTAATCACTAGCATACCACTTAGCATATAGCTAACTATCATACCACATATCTCTACTTCACTGGTGTACCACATATCACAAAATGGGCCGACATTAGTGCCTTAGACCCATTAGTATGGTGCAGAGACTCACCTCTCGAATTCCGAACTGACAAGCTAAGATCAGATATATCCCACACACTGCTCTAACTCAACTGCCTATAATCATCATTTGATTAACTTGTCATAATCCCGAAATACCATAGTTATCCTCAAAGTCAAACCTGGTCAAAGTCAAGGTTAACAGTCAATGTTGACCTCAACTCGTCGAGTGCATCCAACAACTCGTCGAGTTAACTGAATAACTCGATAACTCGTCGAGTTACCTATGTAACTCGTCGAGTTCCTCCCGAGTCCATTCCACTAAATCCCGAGTCAACTCGCCAAGTCACCT